GAGGCACCCAGGCGCCCCCTAAAGGGGCTTTAAATTTGAAGAGAATTTTTAAGTCTGTAAGTGAAGAAAGGAAAGGTACAGAAATGTAGATGTATTCTGGGACATGTGACCAAACAGACCTAGGTTGTCTACGTGGTGACCTTCTACCCCAACATTTTCTTCCATGTGACCAGGACTTTTTCACCTCATCCTGTCACACACAGATATTACCAGGACCACTTGGGCCTAACAGTCATCCTTTTAAAATGCTTCCTGGAGGGTGATCACCTTTATCTTGCTTCTGGGAGTTACATAGCCTTAAGGCCTCCATCCTGCCTTTGCACATTTTGAGCACTCGCTAAATGTTAATCATTGATGCCTCTCTGCGGGCGGTTTACTCAAGATCAGGAAGGCTGTGTGAGAAAGGAGGTGGGCTGGAAAAATCTCAACCAAGTAGTTAAGCAGAAAGTTCAGAGAATAGTAATAGGGAAAGGCACAAAGAACTCAGAATTTCTTGAGCACCTTAGCGTGAATCCTTTCAGACTAGGAGGTATAGAAGTAGAAGGAAATTTTCCCTGGCCTGCTGTGATCTGTAGCACAATTTTCCTCCTGAAGAGGTCATCCTGACCTGTGTGTGTCACATGCAGCTCATCTTTCTGCCTTGGGAGTGGGAGAAAGAGCTTACAAAATATCCACTTAACTTTTTTCGGTTAGGTTGAATCCAAAGGAGTTGCACAGATCTGTAGGAATATTACCAAGAAAGCTAAATTTCTATGAGCATATCCAGCCCTGGAACTTAGGAGTAGAGAAAAATTGTTGCTGCCTTCTTCCATGTCCACAAATAGGCTTCTGCTCTAAATGTAGATGGGATGGGTGGGGCAGCATGGGGAGAGAAGAAGGAAGCAGGAGAGGAGGAATAATAATTTCTTCTGAAATTATTGAAAAACAGAAAAGCTTTTATGGTTTAGTTTGGAGATGTTAGGCCTTCTCTGAGTCAGCTGGTCTGATGCTAGAGGAGAGAGATTGGAGGTATGTGGGTCCTCTCTTGCTTCTGTCTCTTTCAAAGAAGATCCTTTTCAAACTGGAAAGGGGAGAATAGCATAGTTAAGAGTGAGTCGTTGATCCTCATTGAGGAGGTGAAATTTAAGACACTACCTATTTGATTTAAATGGGTTATCCAATATCTTTGATTCTAGATATCACAATGCTTTTTTTTTAACTTCAGAAAGCATCTCATAATCAATATATAGTTAATGTGGCAGGGTATCTTCCCCCTGAAAACCTGTTATTAAGTAACTGACATTAGTTTCTTGATCATGTCTTAGGATAGCGGAAGTAAGGTATTTTCCTTATGGGATGTTCTATTTCAAATCATTACAGACATCTGTCTGTCGTTGAACTGAAGCATTTTAGTGAAAGATGCTGGAAGACTTTGAAGTTGTAGAGAAAGGTACTAGAAGATTGAAGGGATAAGAAGATGGGTTCCGTAGGCTGTAGACAAGGGTGATATTGATCCTGGGCAGTACTCAAGAACAGGGATCAGCAAAGTTTTTCTGTCAAGGAACAGATAGTAAATATTTTTGGCTTTGTGGCCACATAGACTCTGTCACAGTTGCTCAGGTCTGCCATTGTAGCCTGAAAACAGCCATAAACGCCATGTAAGCAAATGAACATGGCTGTGTTCTGATAAAACTTTATTTATAGAAGTAGGCAGCAGGCCAGATTTGGTGCACAGGTGGGAGTTTTTCAACCTCTGCTTTAGAATAAATTGTTAAACTCTTTTTTTGTTGTTTTTTGTTTGTTTTGAGTATGGAGGGAACTGTATTGGTTCTTTGAGGATAGATCAGGCCTGAGAAGTTCTTCTCCATTATCTTTCAGCAGAGTTAAAATTACGTAAGATCAAAAGTATAGTTTATTTTTATGTCATTGAGGCATTTGGCAGAATATTTGAAAAGAAGCTTTGTAGATGAAGAGATGTAGACCACTGCAGTTAGGTGATTAACTCTTTGGTGCCTGCTGTCTTTGAACTGATAAGAAACACTGCCAGTGATGACATATGAGAGCAAGCAGCAAATTATTGCTACCAGAACAATTTAATAGTATCATTTCCTTAAAAGACTCTGTATATTAGCTTTTGAGATAAAAAGAACTGCGAACATAATGTAGTAGTATGTTCCGATAATAAATTACCCCAATTTGTTTAGTGGAGTTATATATAGCAAAATCATACTGTCTTTCTCAAAGAGCATCATTATATACTGCTCCCTTGGTGAAAAATTAGTGTCCTACTCAGTGTAGTCTTCTTTCCTTGGCCCTAAAATATTCTGTATTTTTAATCAATGAATTTAATTGTGTAATGGCAACAAATTTTTGGTGACTCAGACTTCATCTTCATACCAAATTCCTATTAACTAACAAGCGTACAAGAGGAACATTCATAAAATAAAGACTGTATCTCCCAAGCTCAGTGTTTAAGTGGGAGTGGGAGATATAGGCCTCCAGTTACAGAATAAATAAGTCATGGAGATGAAATGTACAGCATAGGGAAAATAGGGGCGCCTGGGTGGCTCAGTGGGTTAGGCCTTCGGCTCGGGTCATGATCTCAGGGTCCTGGGATCGAGCCCCACATCGGGCTCTCTGCACAGCAGGGAGCCTGCTTCCCCCTCTCTCTCTGCCTGCTTCTCTGCCTACTTGTGATCTCTCTCTCTCTCTCTGTTGAATAAATCAATAAAATCTTAAAAAAAAAAAAAGAAAGAAACAGCATAGGGAAAATAGTCAGTGGTGTTGTAATACTGTGTGGTGGCAGACAGTAGCCACACTTATGAGCAGAGCATAACTTACAGAGTTGTGGAGTCACTTTATTGTGTAGCTGAAACTGATGTAATATGATGTGTCAACTATACTTCAATTAAAAAAAATAAAATGGGACCCCGGGTAGCTCAGTCAGTTCAGCGTCTGCCTTTGGGTCAGGTCATGATCCCAGGGTCCTGGGATCGAGCCCTGCATTGGGCTTCCTGCTCAACAGGGAGTCTGCTTCTCCCTCTCCCTCTATCCTGCTTGTGCTCTCTCTCTCTTTCAAATAAATAAAATCTTTAAAAATAATAATAAAAAAGGAAAGAAAGAAAAAGACTTTACAGGGGCACCTAAGGTGTCTCAGTTGGTTGAGCATCTGACTCTTGGCTTTGGCTCAGATCATGATCTCAGGGTCATGAGATTCAGCCCGGCATCAGGCTCCACGCTCAGTAGAGAGTCTATTTGAGATTCTCTCTCTCTCCCTCTCCCTCTGCCCCTCCCCTTACTCCTGCTCTCTCTCTCTCTCTAATAAATAAATAAACTCTTTAAAGTAAGAAAACGGGTGGCTCAGTGGGTTAAGCCTCTGCCTTTGGCTCAGGTCATGATCTCAGGGTCCTAGGATCGAGCCTCGCATCTGGATCTTTGCTCATCAGGGAGCCCGCTTCCCACTCTATCTCTGCCTGCCTCTCTGCCTACTTGTGACCTCTCTCTATCAAATAAATAAAATCTTTTAAATAAATAAATAAATACATACATACATAAAAATAAAAAAAGAAAACAAAATTTCACAGACAACACAATGTAAAGTAAGCCCTTCGTGTGCAGCAGTTTTCCAACAACTTGAACATTTTGGACTCACCAACAATTTAAGTCCACACTAAACCAAAAATTCATCGGGATTATAAGTTTTAGCCACAAAGCCTACATACTTTCCCTTCCTACGACTCAGATGTATTTGATGTTCTAGCATGTATTCACATTTCCCAGAAAATGTCAATCCTATTCTAGAATGCACTGTACAAAGGGGAAAAAAATCAGAGTCTGTGACAGAGGGTCAGAGAGGACATGGAGCAGCAGAAGCAGGTATAATTGAATAAAAGTGTGTCACCTGGGACTCAGTACTACAAGGGACAGAAAGCCAGCTCCATCTGGCCTAAAAAAGAGAAAGTGAGAAAGGGGGAGGGGGAGAGAAAAGAGATTCTTAGCAATTTATTAGGTTCTTAGGCTAAGTCCAAAAATGTGGCTAGTTCCTAATCGTGCAAACATTGTCACCAAGTACAAGTCCCTGGTTTCTCTCTGCTCTTGCTTCCATGATGGTAGCCTTGCCCTCCCTTTCATGTTGTAAGCTCCAGCATCTTCAGGCTCTTCCCATTATGCTGGCCAAACAGCCCTGGCAGTTCATCCCTTCACACCTTGCTCTCCAGGAAAATGAGAGACCTGCTTTGTCAGGAGCTCTTATGGAAGAAGGAGACTTCTTTTTCCCCAGAAGCCCCAGGGAACATCTTTGGCTTTCATTGGCTCTATTAGTTTATGTCCCAGTTCCTGAACCCGGCGTTGTGGAGCTGGGTAGAACGGGCTGTTTGGCTTATCTCAATCAGGGCCCGCCCCCAGAGCTAGAGGTAGTGTCCCCCACTCAGACTCTAAGAGAAGGGGAAAGGACTCTTTTCTCAAAGGGGACTTGGGGCCCTGCTCCCAGGAGGGAGGGGTGTATTGGGCAGCAAATAGCTGTCTACTACAAAAATTGTGAGAAGTGGCAGCACAGACAAAAGCACCAAGAGGAGATGGTAGGTGTTCCAGATAAAACAGCACACATCCTTATGCCTTTTATCTATTTGTATGGCTTTTAAAGCATCACTGAAATGGTAATAATGCATCCCTGATATTCACAGTGATGAACCTGAGACATCTAGGAAAGGTTAAATTATGTTTGATTTACTAAGACGGGGAAGAAGTTAATGGATGTTGGAAAGGTTTGTGTGCCTTAATAAATATCAGTGTTTTAAAAAGACTGAAATAAGCCAACAGAAAAGCTTTTTTACCATATTGGGTTCTGGGGGGGGGTTTTTTGTCTAATATTCCTTGTGCTGAGTTTTAACCTGTACCTTACCAGAGCCATGGGTTTAACTGGGAACTGTTTTCACAAAGTGTGCTTTAACTGTATTTGGTTTATATCTTAACCGAGCAAAATTACATTTACTGATGAAAATACCATTTTTGCTTTTGTGCAGAATGCATACACAGCCACAGCTATCAATAGCACCAACTTCTGCACCTCCGCGAAGGATGCCTTTGTCATTCTTGTGGAGAATGCTTTACGGGTGGCTGCCATCAACACAGTGGGGGATTTCATGTTGTTCCTAGGCAAGGTAAGACCACATCGGTTACCTGAGACATACAGTGAATTTTTGCATATATATGTGTTTGCTTTTTCATTTGAAAAATATCTAGCCCACCAAAAAACTTAAAGTAATATAGGTAATATAAAAGAAGCACTTACAAAAGCCCTTAATTTATGTCAGGCACTCTTCTAAGTACTTTACATGTATGGTGCTCATTTAATCCTAACAAGAAATTTGTGAAGGAAGTTCTGTTACTATCCTCATTTTACAGACGGGAAAACTGAGATAGCAGTCAAGTAATATGTCCATGTTTCTCCTTACATACTTTGATCTGTACAGAACTCAGGAATAGTCTGCTTAGTGGTTAGAGGTGCTGTATTTGGAGCCTGACTGCCTGGATTTAAATCCTGGCTCTCTCACTGTGTGACCTGAAGCAGGGTACATAACCATTCTGTGCCTCAGTTTGTTCATCTATGGAAGTGGGATAATAATAGAGCCAAACCCCTAGGGTTGTAAGGATTAGACTGGCTAATACACGTAGTGTACCTAAGACAGTGCCTGACACATTGTAAGTTCTCGATGAATGTTGGCTGTCACTGTTACTGTATATAAATGCCTTTAAAACAGAGCTGTGTGGGAATGAGACTTACCTGTCCTTAAAGTGTCTGAAAAAAGGTAATTTTTCTATACTATTAAAATCTGCAGAAGAATAAATAACATTATAGTTGGATTTCTGTGTATCTCTAGTTCAAACCATAAAATACTCAGAAATTTTGAAAAATTAAGCTGACATCCCTATAACCTAATAACATCACTTTTATATATTCCCTCCCAGTATTTTTTCATAGGCTTATATTTCTATAGTGTAACAGTCATAGCATACTTACCAGTTTGTTCTGCCCTTTGCACTTTATATTACATTGTATCCAGTTCTCCTGTTGCTTTGATAATCTTCATAAGAATTCATAATCATGATGGGCAGTATTTCATCAAATGCTATTCTTAGACACTCTCTTACTACTAAACACTTAGGTTCCTCCAGCTACTGTGTTTTGAAAATGTTTTTAAAAAGGAAAAAATACTTGGTGTAGAGAGGCCAAGATACCATGGTGTGGTGTCTAGTTCTCAGGCAGCTGTCATCTAAAAAGAATTATAAAACCGTGCAGTTGTTTTGAAAATCTGTAATTAAACTTACTTGGATTAAATTAAATTAAATTAAACTTGGATTTGTTCTTGTCATGTTTTTACAACAGGAAATGTTTTATAGTAAGGATTGAATGAGTCAGTCCATGTTAAGGACTGAGTATAGCGTTCGACACTCTTATTAACTATTGCTATTATTTATATGCTATATGACTAATTTAGGAAGCCTTCAGATTTTATGTTTATTTTATGTTTTACATATTTATAATTTATCCCCACTACTAAGAAGGATATGAGGCAGCTTAAAATACGAACATATGTACACAGAGCAGGTAAAATAGAAGAGAAGCCATATAGAGAAATAACAGAAAGTTATTCTCAGGGGCAGCATTTGATCATAATGGTGATTTTAGTAAACTCTGATGGAGACACTTGCTCCATATTAGGTACTGAGGAATGTACTTCATGGAAAGTGTTATTCGTCCTCTCCTAGAATGTGAGCCGCTACTGTTTCCTTCATTTTGTAGCAGAGGAAGCTCAAGTTTAGAGAACTAGATAGGTTGCCCAAATTTAAAGGACTAGAATGTGGCAGAGCTGGAGTTCAAACTTAACGTCTGTCTGACTTCTCAGTGTGCAGTCACTATGTGCTAACCTGAAGTTTGCCCTTGGACTTTTTTTTTTAAGTCTTTTGATTCAGTAATTCTGTTTACGGTAAACCACTGCTAGATATAATCCTAAATACAGAAAAATACAACATTATTTCTAATAGTTAGTAATCGCCAACAATTTACTGCCTACCAATAGAGAAATGGTTAGAAATAATAGCAAACTGTTATTCACCTGTTGTTAGACCATGTTTTTATTAAAAGTTTATAATGTGATCTTTACATATAATATGACAAGTGAAAAGACTGACTTGACTATCACTGTTAAGTACTGTTTAAGGATGTACATATGAGAAAGAATTACTATCTCAAAATGTTAATGATTATCTTTGGATATTGAACATACGAGTGATTCCTGGGGCGCCTGGGTGGCTCAGTGGGTTAAAGCCTCTGCCTTCGGCTCAGGTCATGATCCCAGGGTCCTGGGATCGAGCCCCGCATCAGGCTTTCTGCTCCGTGGGGAGCCTGCTTCCTCCTCTCTCTCTGCCTGCCTCTCTGCCTACTTGTGATCTCTGTCTGTCAGATAAATAAATAAAATCTTTAAAAAAAAAAAAAAAAGAAAGAAAGAAAGGAAATACGAGTGATTCCAAACCCCTTCCCCTGCTTTATCATAATAAAATAAGTTCTCTATATGAAATACGCATTTCTCATAATGGGGAAATATAGAGGTGATGAGATACAGTGTTTTAAAATTGACTTTGAGTTTTTGAGCAGCCTATATCAAAATTTTTTCTTTGGTTTTATCATTTTTTTCATTCCACAAATATCCTAGGGTGCCCACTAGTAATATGCTAGGAACTTTTCTGGATACTGGTGATACACTAGTCAATAAAGAAAATTTTAAATCTAGTAGAAAAAGCAGTTTTATATCCCCTTTTTCACTTTATATTATGAGTATTTCCTATTAAAAATGTTTTAAACATGGTTATACAATTGTATCTTTTATTTAACTAAGCCTCTAATTTTTTATAGTTAAACTATTCTCATTTTACTAACATAAAGTATGATACAGAGAAACTTTTGTATACAAATCCTTGCCTGCATCAATCCTTATTTCCTGAGTCCAGAATCCTAGAAATAGAATTAATGAGTCAGAGTACATAATAGGTTTCTTGATGTACATTACCAAATTGCTTTCCAGGAACATTTACATTTGAATAATATAAAATTCATAACACTGTAAAAAAAATTACTTCTATACCCATGAAAGATAAACTGTTTTTTAATCCAGATACCCAAAAAGAAAATAAAAAAATGAGAGGAGAATAAAGTCTGGGTTTCCAACATACTGAGATAAACATTCTTTAGTTTTCTTTTAAAAAAAAATATAGTTCTGGGGCGCCTGGGTGGCTCAGTGGGTTGGGCCGCTTCCTTCGGCTCGGGTCATGGTCCCAGGTCCTGGGTTCGGGCCCCGCGTCGGGCTTTCTGCTCAGTGGGGAGCCTGCTTCCTCCTCTCTCTCTGCCTGCCTCTCTGCCTACTTGTGATTTCTCTCTGTCAAATAAATAAATAAAATCTTTAAAAAATATATATATAGTTCTGATCACAGAATACAGTAAATCTTTTGAAAGCATTTCTTTCTAAAAGTGGTTGCTAGTATGCAGAAATAGTTTCTGAGCAGATAGTTCAAGTGGGGAAATCAGAAGTCCCAGATCAGTAGATAGTTTAAGTGGGGAAATCAGAAATCCCCAATTTCTCTGGGGAAAGACAGAGGCACCTGTGTGGCTCAGTCTGTTAAGTTTCTGCTGTCTGGCTCAGGTCATTATCCCAGAGTCCTGGGATCGAGCTCTTCATCAGTCTTCTGCTCAGTTGGGAGCCTGCTTATCCCCTCTCTCCCTCTACCCTTCCCCCTGCTTGTGTACTCTTTCTCTGTATCTCTCGCTCACTCTCGCTCAAATAAATAAAATCATTTTTAAAAATTAAATAAAAGTGTCAGGAACGAACTATTGATAATATACAACTTGGATTAATCATGAGATAATTGTGCAGAGTGGAAAACACCAATGCCAGAAAAGTAACTACTGTATGTTTCCATTATGTAACATTCTTATATACCTTTTTTTTTTAAATTAAGTAAGCACTACACTCAACGTGGGACTTGAACTGATTATATAACATTTTTGAAATGACAACATTATGGGAACAGATTTGTGGTCACTCAGCTAGAGATGGGGTTGGGGGAGGAGTAATAGTTATAAAAGGTTAACATGAAGGATCCTTGTGATGATGGAAATGTTCTGTATCTTGACCGTGTCAATGTCAATACTGTGGTTGTGGTATTGTACTGTATACAAGATGTTACCATTGAAAGGAACTGGGTAAAGGGTTTATGGAATCATTCTTTGTTATTTCTTACAACTATATGTGAATTCAAAATTGTCTCAAAATTTAACATTTCATTTGTAAAACCCTGAATTTAGGGGCGCCGAGTGGCTCAATGGGTTAAGCCTCTGCCATCGGCTCAGGTCATGGTCTCAGGTTCCTGGGATGGAGCCCCGCGTCGGGCTTTCTACTCAGCAGGGAGCCTGCCTCCCCCTCTCTCTCTGCCTGCCTCTATGCCTACTTGTGATCTATCTCTCTCTCTCTCTCTCTCTCTGTCAAATAAATAAAATCTTTTAAAATAAATAAATAAATAAATAAAATTTTAAAAATCTTTAAAAAACAAGCAAACAAACCTAAATTTAAAAGAAAACAAAAGACAACGCCCTGGATTCCATTTCTGTGGAACCCAAGTGATTTCATGGAATGGAATTAGATTTGGAAGGGATCTTAGCTCCTCTAATTTAGTGGCTTGTGACCTGTGATCACTGGTCTATAGGGTCCTCCCCGGTAAGAATAGAGATCTACAAGCTATTTAAACATTTTCAACTCCTATAGATAATGCATATTTGCCCAATAAAACTATACCCAAAACCCTACAAAATCTGTTTCTCCACTTCTGTGTGAAATTTTTTCATCTCTATTTGATAATACTACTTCTAACATTAATTATTGGCAGTTTATTTGGCATTGATTAATTAAAAATGAGAATATGAATTATTACTTAAATAGGTGCTATTTTACTGGTAAACAAAATCTTTCAAAACTTGAGTTCTATGTGGAAAGGGCATCATAATGCAAGATTTATAGTGGAAGTCAAAGGAAGAAACAAACAAAGATTGCCAAGCCCTGTGTTATATGCTTTCAGAATGCTTATTTTAACAATTACAGGATGTGTGTACTCTTAGGTCTCTTTTAAAGGCAGAAAAACAGACTCAGAAAGCCTGAATTTGAACTTGCTTGGAGTCACAAACTAGGAAGTACTAACTCTGTGTGATTCAAATCTATGTCTTTCTGATTCCAAAACTAGCACCCTTTCCTTCGTGCTTCTCACATCCTGGCCTGTGTATGAATCTCTTCTGTTGCATCACCAATAATGTATCCTGTAGAACAGGAGAGTCTAAACTTTCTATATCAGGTGTCTTATTAGAAAAAAAAATTGAGCACACTTCCTAATATATTTACATTTATTAATATATGTACAGCTTTTAATAATATATATTATAAAGCATAGTACAAAAGAAAATTTCAATAAGTGAGAAATACAATTTGAAGTCCTAGGTAATCCCCTTCAATACTCCTTGAGTATGTATATCCCACTATGGAGACCATTGATATAGACCAGTACTTCTTATAGGCTGTGGACTTTATCAGAATGACCTGAGGTACTTTTTAAATAAATATTGCTGGGTTTCATCTTAGATCCAACCAACTGGACTCTGGGGGTAGGGCCCAGGAATCTGTGTTATTTTCAAACTCCCCAAGTGATAACCTAGACCCCTCATCGTTTGAGAGCCATTAATGTATCCTCTGCTTGAATAAATGCATGTTGCCCTTTCATTATATTTGGAAGCAATTATTACACTTCTCTGACCTTTTCAGCTAAATATCATGAATTCTTTTTTTTTTTTTTAAGATTTTATTTATTTGACAGACAGAGATGACAAGTAGGCAGAGGCAGGCAGAGAGAGAGAAGAGAAAGCAGGCTCCCCACGGAGCAGAGAGCCCAATGTGGGGCTCGATCCCAGGACCCTGGGATCATGACCTGAGCCGAAGGCAGAGGCTTTAACCCACTGAGCCACTCAGGCGCCCCTAAATATCATAAATTCTTGAAGTTGTTTCTAAAGTGACAGTATCCATCCTTCCCCCTCAACAGCTTTTTTTTTTCCCCCTCAACAGCTTTTATCTCAACATTGGTTTGGTTTGTCTGAGTCACATCTTCTCCCTATAATTGACTTTAACATTTCAAATGTGGCTTAACTTTAAGTGGTCTAATGAGAGCATAAAGAACCTAAGTCCTTCTATAGGGTGGATTTCAAAAATTTGAAGAAGAGATATCAAAAACAGTGATTTCATCCTAAAACCAAAAAGCGTGAAAGAAAATGGATATAATTAGTTATCTGTAGAAGTCACCACAGAAAGTAATGGTAAGAGAGGATTCCTGAATGTTTGCCACCAAAAAATGGTGAAGGGTCTTCAAAATTGGGGGCAGACCCAGATTTGTTCCCTAAAATCATCCGAGAAGGGTCAACTTATAGCCTAACCAATATTCCGTCTAATGCATTATAACTCTTGGTTAAAATAATGGAGAAGGAGAGATGCTTTGGTGTGGATAAATAGTAGGGAAAAGGCAAGAGAATTAATTCTCAGTCTGCCTGTTCTCAGCACTGGACAGGGAAAGACTGCTATGATTCTAGAGGACTCTTTCTTTTCCTTTGTTACTTAATGATGGATGGTAAGGCAAATAAGGGGCTGAGCAAGACTGTGTTTAGGATTCAGTATAACCTATTGCTGCTTTATATCCATATCCAAGTATTTGCTGAGTTTTTACCTGCAAAGAATGCTGGAGTTGGCATCATAAGACCGTGATTTAGGTGGTACCTGCTCTTCTACTCTGTGACCCTGGGCAGGTTGCATAGTATCTCTGAGCACGTTTCCCAGTCTATAAAACGAGGAATGATGATGTTTGCCATAAACCATTTATAGGGACTGAAAAGCTGAACTAAAATATAGTAAAAGAACTACAAGAAATTTCAAGTGCTGTCTGGACACGATCAGAGTAGGTCATTCTTGACAATAAGCAAATTGGCTATTTCTTGTATTCTTCTATGATGGATGTTTGTGGCAACCTCTTTCCTCACAGGTAATCTAAATTTAAATTTCGTGGCAAATCATATTCAATTCGCCATGTATTCTGTGTGAAATAAAATATGAAACAAAGAAAAAGCTCTCAGAGATGTTTGTTGCAGCATTATTTATACCAGAAAACAATCGGAGTCTCTAGATGTAGGAACCTGGTCAAATTTTCTAAGTCCCCTGTAAGATGAAATTATGTGACTAAGTGTTTATAAAACATTGATAGTGATATTATAAATATTAATGAATAGCTTTTAATGATTCATATGTATAATACTATTTCATATATGTAAAAGTGCTTAGAAGTACATAGCAATGCCCCGGAATGTCAATAATTTTTTTCTGAGTGCTAATAGGGTCATTTCCTAAAATATGTGTACACTTATTTTAAAAATGGCCACAGGTGCTATATATATGGGAAGTTTTAAGGAATAAGCATAATCTTTGGAAAATATGACTCCTTTTTCATGTAAACCAGAGCGTTTAAAGGACGATGTTTTGTTTATGTGATAAGCATGTGTATGCATGCACACATATAAATGCGTATGTGTCTGTGGGTCTGTGTGGATGACATACTTCCTAACTTGAGGTGGAATGAATGTATGCAACCGTCATTTAAGAATATTGAAGGGAACTTGAAATCTGCACATGTTGAACAAACAGTGGCTATTAAATGGGCTCTTTGTTCTCTCTGCTTCAGGTGCTGATAGTCTGCAGCACAGGCTTGGCTGGGATTATGCTGCTCAACTACCAGCAAGATTACACAGTCTGGGTGCTGCCTCTGATCATCGTCTGCCTCTTTGCTTTCCTAGTCGCTCATTGCTTCCTGTCCATTTACGAAATGGTAGTGGATGTATTATTCTTGTGTTTTGCCATTGATACAAAATACAATGATGGGAGCCCTGGCAGAGAATTCTATATGGATAAAGTGCTGATGGTAAGTACTTCAAATGCCCTCAACTGCTTTAGGGGTAAAAATACGATTCAGAATTTTTGCAAGACATTGTCTGTATTTCATTTCTATTGTATGCAACTGAGTCATTCAGGATGAGACCTGTAGTGCTCATGAATGAGCTTAGTCTTGGGGAAATCAGGGAAGGAGCTCTTCTTGGCATGGATGGGACCGTTTATAGCTGGAGCAATAACCATTAGGTAGCCCCGATTCACATTATTTCAGACTCCTGCCTCCCTCTCTGCGATTAGATGGATTAGAATTGACTTTTTAAACCTGCATTTTAGCCCTTGAATTGGAACATTGGACTACTGATGTTCTAAGTGCCCTTTCCTAAAGTGGAGCTCAAAGACTTCCCAGGTTGTAGTACCTGCCTGTATTTCTTGATCTATCACCTTTCCAAATATTATTGCCGTCAGCGCCATTAAAACTCATTATCCTAAGTATGCCAGGCCAAATTGAAGGTGTTTCATAATGAATACAGATGAACAGACCCTGACTGTATTGTTTCCCGTAAGTCAAGATCCAAAGATAAAGGTATTACATTCATATTCTTTATAGTTATGTTATAGTTATGTAGCCTCTGCAGATTCCCTATGGTAGAATCTCAATAGAAATTTTTTTAAAATTTAGAAATCCTACTTAAATGGTTCAAATACTTGTTATCACTGTCAAATGGTACCAAATTAAGGATACTTAATAATAATACTTTGCTAGTAAGCTGTGAAATATTCCTATCTGAAGGGTGGGTAATGTTGAAGACTGAACATTAGACATTGAGATAACAAGTCCTCTACCAGGAGCATGGTTTATCTAGTTAAGTCTAAAATAAATATGTTGGGGGGGGCACCTGGGTGGCTCAGTGGGTTAAAGCCTCTGCCTTCGGCTCCAGGTCATGATCCCAGGGTCCTGGGATCGAGCCCCACATTGGGCTCTCTGCTCAACAGGAAGCCTGCTAGCCCCACTTCTCTGCCTGCCTCTCTGTCTACTTGTGATCTCTGTCTGTCAAATAAATAAATAAAATCTTTAAAAAAATAAAAATATAAAAATTAAAATAAAATAAATGTGTCAGGGAGCCTGGGAGGCTCAGTTGATTAAGTGACTGCCTTCGGCTCAGGTCATGATCCTGGAGTCCCAGGATCCAGTCCCACATTGTGCTCCCTGCTCTGTTGGGAGTCTGCTTCTCCCTCTGACCCTCCGTTCTCATGTTCTGTCTCTCTCTCTCTCTCTCAAGTAAATAAATAAAATATTTAAATAAATAAATAAATAAATAAATAAATAAAATGTGTCAATAAATAAAATAGATTCCTTTTTTTTTTCCCTCCCAGTCACAAAAATTCCAAATGATTTAGCTGACGTATTTGGTACTGAATATCTTTCATTGAGAACACCATCAACTACATTTTGGACATTTTCATAATGTCTATACTATAATTCTAACTGGTTGTTTTCATGATGGAATTTGACTTGTGAGCATTCCATCTCCTTTCTGATGAAGGCATTTGGAAGAATTTGGGGATGGCTGCATGGCTCAGTTGGTAGAACATGTGACTCTTGATCTCAGAGTTGTAAGTTTGAGCCCCACAGTGGGTTTAGTTAAAATCTTTAAAAAGAAGAAGAAAAAGAATTACTTGTTTTTATTTTTTAAACCTCTGATCACAAGTTGAGTAAAAAAAAGAAATACACTTTTTCTTCTTTTAGTTTTCTTCTGTAAGAATGATGAGTATATTGAATGGAGAAGTGCTCCATAAACTTTGACAAGATAGAGATGTTTCCTTCAGGGTATAATCCCATTTTGACTACTTTTCGACCACAGGTTCTGGTTGTAACTTCCTGTTTTCCTGCTTTATGGAGTAATTTCAAAGCCAAATAGACATTTTTTTTTAAGTAGCTTATTTATGGTTTGGTAAAAACAGTAATCTGGGCTTAGTATCGATGCTTTCTTTTACATTCTAGGGTTATTTTAAAGACAGGCCTTCTGGAGTAAAATAGTCTTTGTTATTCCCTTTAACCTTGATATGGAAAAAGTAAAACAACAAATAAAACAATAATCTATGGGAAAATAGTCCTCTTAAAAATAATTAGGTATTTTCTCTTCCAAATAGAAGTAACATTCTCTCTCTCTTGGGGTTAAAGCCTCTGCCTTTGGCTCAGGTCATGATCCCAGAGTCCTGGGATCGAGCCCCGCATAGGGCTCTCTGCTCAGCAGGGAGTCTTCTTCCTCCTCTCTCTCTCTGACTGTCTCCCTGCCTACTTGTGGTCTCTGTCTGTCAAATAAATAAATAAAATCTTTAAAAAAAAAAAAAAAAAGAAGTAACATTCTCTCTCTGAGCCTGAGTGAGATGGTCCCAGTGAATGTATGGAAAAAAGATTTTATCTTGACATTGCTGCCTACCCACACCAACTTAGCAGCTCTTGTATGGTGATACTAACTATCATTTATTGCTATGTTTTTAGGCCATCCCTTTACTAACATTGAATACAAAATGTAAACGCTCCTTAGGTTCATCTACCAACCACAATCTGAAGGACCTAAGAATTTATGCCATCTGGTCCCTATTTTGCAGGAGTTTGTGGAAAACAGTAGAAAAGCAATGAAAGAAGCTGGTAAGGGAGGCGTTGCTGATGCCAGAGAGCTGAAACCGATGGTAGGTGGAGATGAGGAGGTGGCCGGCCTCCAAGAGTTTCATTTTCACTTCCTCTCTCTCTCTGTCTTCACTGACTGCACTTCTTCAGGAGAAGCTGTTGTTATCTGTATCACGCAGGATGTGCTGCTCTTTCTGTTTGTGTGTTTACCCATCACTTGGATGGCAGAACTCTTGTCACAACTGAGACCACCTTCTGTAAAAGTAAGCTGAAAGGAATAGTGTCTTTTTCCGGTGCTCCTGGTGGGGAGGGACTGTTTCTGTCCCTAAAGTAAAATTGCCATTTCTCGGGTGGAGGGTGTTTGTTTTGTTTTGTTTGTTTTTTCCTTTTTAACTGTCAGTGTTTGGTTTTCATCAGACTGAACATTTGGTTGCACACTTGAACTGACAGTTTGATTTTTGTCATTTTTGGAAGGTGATAATAATTCCTTTCAACTTGCTAAAATTCATATCCCCCACGTTTTTAATATTGGTTTGTTTCTGTTGCTGTCTTTTATCCCTCGCTGACTTTTTCTTCTGTTGCCTGGATTGTACTTTCTTTGTTTCTTCAGCTATTTTTCAGTAGGAAACAAGGTTATTTCCATCAACACTCACATTCCCCGTTCAGTAAGACAACCGGGTCTTCTCTTACCTCATCTTGATTGTGAGAAGGATAAATTATCTCTGGTCAGGGATACGTATGTATTATAAGTACTGCACTTCCATTTGACAAAAAGCAACTCAGTCAGTGTAAGAGAATCCTGAGTTGCTTTTCCCACAGATATTCTCACCTCTGCGTAATGACAGATGTCTCTCACACATATTTGTGTAATTACTGCTTATTTTACAAATGTATTGTTCTTAAAGAGCATGTGACTTCAAAATATTATATAATTGCCTACCTCCTTAAATGGTACATTTTAAATAACGTGACTTCTCATTGCACATAACTTCCAAAAGCGTGAGATTAAGACTCCTCTTTCTTCTTTCTAGTTTAGTAAGTGGTTGATTTCATAGGTCTCCATCTGGAGAAATACATAATGTAAAACAAGCCCATTTAAGTATCTAAGAGTAAAGGAAATGGGTTCGTTTAAGGTTGCGGGGTGGGTGGTGGGGGAGGCCATATGTATATGCATATGAATATGTAAAATAATTGCATATTCAACCCAAATTGAAGCCTCAGCAGAATGTTTAGATATAAACTCTTTCTCCATAACCCCCTTTCAGGGCTTATTTTGGTGTTGCTTTTAATAGCACTGATGATTATAAAGTCAAACCTTCAATGTTTAGTTCCCAAGGTATAGATCACTCTAATTTTAAGTAAAAGGATGTAGAGCTCTTTAGTTTTAAGCATGCATTAGCCAGAACTGCATTGAGTGGGCAAGAAGCACCATCAGCAATGCCCATGGTCTGGTTACTTGCCTTCCCTACCCTTTCTATATCCCTCTTACTTGACACTGGCCAAAGGAGAAAGCAGTAAAGATTCTTGCTAACCTTCTGGTGGCATGGGTAAATGAGGAAGGCTTTCTTCGTGTCATTCTTGGCTTATCTTACTTGTTCAGTAAATAAGGTTCCCAGCCTATAACTTTAAAAAGGTAAAATATAAAATCTTAAAATCTAAACCCTCTCTTCTCTACCACTTTCTGTCTTTCCAGTGGTTGGCACTTCTATTAAGTCATTTGTCAGTAATAGTCATTTTTCCAAAGGGAGAAATATGTGGAGGTCTACACTAGCTTAGTTTGAACCATGAATTGGCATGTATTTTTGCATTATCCTTTAGTGAGAGATAAATTCTGGTAGACCAGACCAAGTATGCCTTCTCTCCCCGAAACCCTAATTCATAGGTAATAATAATAGAATTGCCCAAGTTATGTGGCATTCTACCAGAAGCCAAGAACTTAGAAAGATCTTTTCCCCTAATATTGCTTTCAGTTTTAAATTATTGTCCCTTAACTCAAATACTGCTTTAAAATCTTCATTCATTTTTTGCTTTTATTTTATATTGTTCATCAACTCATTGCTTGCAAATTAGTGACAAAACTCTCCACTCTGTCCCGGAAATCTCTCTTTTATGTGCATTGTTCTTCTGGTCTTTGAACATTACAGCATTTGATCCCTAAGAATGATGTTTTTATATGGCTTAAAAACTTTGCAGGAGAGAATTTGAGATATTGCTTGCAGAGTAGTTAAATACTTTAAGCATAATCAATACCTCTAATTCTTATCCCGCTTTTCCATTAGCATGGTTGGCGTTGACCACCATCTTGGATGTGTTCCTAAATAATTACCTGAGAAATTCCTCACTAAAGTTTGAGGATTGGTAGAATTTAGTATTGCTTATTTGTATTTGCTTGTTTTAATTCACATGTTATTCCCATAGATGAAAGTTCTATGAAAGCATCATACCCATTTTGCCATATCTGTACAACCTGCTGTTTAAGTTCACTGGTCTATCTTCTTTCTTAGTGGATATTTTACTTTAGAATTTACTTTTAGCCTACAGAATAATGTTCAGGGAAGAAAATGAGCTTTTAAATTTCCTTTTTGACAGGGAATCATTGAACTGGATATAAGTACTTCCAGTTTTCCTCATGGACTTTTTTTCTTTTTTCTTTTTTTTTTTTTTTTTTCTGAGAGAAACTCACTAGTTAAGGAAACTTCAAAGGTTTGTGAGGTCACCCTATGCATCTTTGAAAATTATTTTAGAAAAATTGATCACATGTGTTGTAGAAGTTAAAGAAGGAGACACTCCGGCCTTCTGCCTATAGGAAAGAATTTATAGAGGAAAGGGAGGGGAAAAAGCTGGACACTGCAGCAACATAGGCAGGAGACGTATTCTCTGCATATCTCAGAGCTTACCCAGAAACGTGACTTTCCACATTCATAAGAATTGCACCCCTTTGGAATATAGGTTTGGGGAGAAGGGCTCTCAATCCATTTTGCTTTGTTGCCGCTTGTGACCATCTATGTATTTGTAACATCGTTCATGATCTCCTTTTAATGGTAATTGTCTAAGATTCTACTCTGTATGACTTTGTTTTCTAGGCTTCGGGAGCAAGTTCTGCTTGAACCTAGCCGACCGTTACGGAACCCATTGACATTCCAAAACAATATATACACATAACTATGTATTTGTGTGTGTGGGTGTGTGTATATATGTATATGTATGTGTGTATATATATGTATATGTATATACACACACACACATAATCAGCCAAAATCAGAGAAAAGGAACAGGGATTTAATACCTTTTTTATGCTTATTTTTGTCAAACATGTACTCCTTTCATACGGGTGGCTTTTACAAGGCAACTGCCGTCATTTAATGTTTTCAATTGTAATTGTCTTAATGGAAATGTTAAGATTCATATCTGATTAACATTTTTAATAACTTAGAGGAGATTTTAACTTTAGTTATTTAAATTAGGTAAAATGATTGTACCGAATTCTCTGTCTAAAGTTTATTCAGGGGTGATTTCCCTGATGTGTGCATAAAATCAAGGTCTTACTTTACTGATGCATAAGTCCTAGCGGGACGAGACTAGGCATATGCTTTCAGATAAATAAGGAGATACTCCAATCAGTTTTCCCCAATCAAAGAAGCCATGTCATTTTACTTTTAGAAACATACTAGTGGACTCAATATGGGAATTTTCATAATAGCTCATGCATTTGTCAGCCAACATTAAAAAGTAACCAACTCCTCAGGTATTTGTAGTTTACCCTAAGCTTCTATAAGAGAGTAGGTTAAAAAAGAAAAGGGTAGATAATCTTTCTTATGCAAACTTTGTTCTTATAGTTTGTCTTTCTTTCATTTCTTACTTTAGTAGCACCCTCCACACATTGGTGTGACTGATTTGAAGGGAAGCTGGGGCGCCCAGCAACTTTAGCCTTTAAGTTTCCGTGTATTGATTTACAGATTAAGTAATGCTGGGAGGAATAAAAAAGGGAGAGAAACATGGAACACAAAGCATTGCAAATTCCAGTGCTTGGGCTTCTGCTCCTAAGGAACTTCAGTGGCTCCAGGCTAAGTGGCCATTTTATTCAAATACTTGCTGTAAAATCTGGAACCATACTGGCAGGTGCTCCTCTCCTCCGTAATTCATTAAGTATCCAGAATTCTCCAATGTTTAACTGAAGAATTGGTTATGTTTTGATCCTCAAGTGTTGAATATTCTTTTTGTTTGGGAATGGGTTTGGGGTTTTTTTGTTTCTCGTTGTTTTTCTTTTTTATTCCTGAAGCTTACCAGATATGAATGGCTAATATTCCATTGTTCTGCTTATTGTAATGGTGAATGCTTTAAGGAAAAAAAAGTGTAATTTGCTAAGAATAATTCATGATCTGTTTATGCGATAACTCCTTTTTGTTACGATTTTTTTAAAAAAAGCTATTTTTGTTAATGTAAAGTAAATATTTCAGAGCAGATTTTTTAAACTTATTGCACTAAATACAGGCTCTGTACAAAAAAAAAAAAGCCTCAGCATTTTATCATTCCATGGAAGAAGAATCTTTTGAAAGAAAGCATTGCCTCTTACCAGAAGTAGACAGTGAATTAGACCGGTATTATGGAAATGCATACAATTAATGTCACTAGGGCTTAATAAGCAGCGGTTTGCTCATGTGCTTGCTTTCAAAGGGTTAGACCTTTAAATTGCTGCAAAAGGTAAATTGTATTTTTTTCTTTTTTTTTTAGTATCCGTGTTCTTTACTCTAGCTAGGCTAAAATTTGCTAAATGCCTTGGTTTCTTTTCAAAGCTCATGTAATATTTCTGATTTTTCAGAATATTTGCAATAAGAGTCTGGATTTAAAAAAAAACAACAACAACAAAACAAAACACACACAGTTAAGAGCTCTTATCTTGGCAAGACCTAGGAAACCAACATTGTGAGAATAGCTATTTTGAAACAATAATCCTCCAGAAGTTAACATCTAACATCGCCAGACAGTATCATTGTACTCTTTTTGTATCCTCTGAAATGGAATAAATATAATTATGTAACTAACAATTATCCAAATAGATGAGAGAGCAAATCATGTAAGAAAATTCAGAATACCTTCTGTTTCATAGCCACACAGATTTTAGACACTAAGAGACATTGGGAACTAAATTTAGGATTGGAAAAAGTTTGCAAGATGAGTATCAGAACAGAAGACATTCTAGGAGCTAGCTATTTTAGGAGATGTCCCTCCAAAGTGACCTGATGGAAATCTTGAATTTTGGAAATTAGGTTCTACTCACTTGGACATCCCAGCATCATGGACTCTCGCTGCTCCCCTGTTCCATTTGCTCGCAATCTCAGCTATTTGGAAACCACCAGGAATGCTTTCTAATTATCATTTGCAACTAGAACTGTAATCAGAAAGAAATTTTGTATTTTTGTATAACTTGATCGTGTGCCATTTTATATAACAGGTCCTGTTTTACAAATAAATTTTGTTTTACTAACATTGTGTTTAGAAATTATGATCTATGTGTAACCATGTCATTTGAGTTCCAAATTAATTGCCAGGCTGTGTTCCCTAAGTAAATGTGTGTGCCACATAGGTAGATATATGCTTCTCTGCATATATGTGTTACCCAGGCACATACAGAGAGATATTTAATGTAGAGAATATCACTCTCATATGAGCTTCATTCCTTGATACATTTTATAAAGCATCACAGAGGCTTTTTAGCAATATTTCAATGTTTTGAGGTTATGTTTGGATATTCCTGCTGCCTCTTTCATTCATCGCGAGTCATTCTTCAGCTAGCTCTGGGCTGCCTTACTGCTATTCAATGCTCACTGCCTCCATCTTCTGCCCAAGTGAGAAGAATAGATGAAGAACAAAAATTATCTGTGATATGTAGTGACCTGAATAATTTTAGAAGCCATTGACTCTGTGTTGTGGTCTGTGTCTCTTTCTGTGGTGGATCTTCAAAGTCGTGTTCAGTGCTGACATCTCCAGAATACAGTTAAGGGCCTCCAGTGTAAGTGGTGATCGTGGGGACCCAAGCATCACTGTGGGTTCTGCCATCAGCAAAAGGCTGTGGTACCTGATTTAGACTTCGCAGGCTCCTGCCTCAAGAGGAAGTGCTGCAGTCATATAAAGTGGAAGGGAAAAGGTCATATTTCAGTATAAATCCAAGAAACCCATCTTCTAGGGGAGGCTTAACCAGTACGTTAGGTAAACATTAGGAATTTAGCTAGGGCATTGAGATTATATAATCCTTGCATAGATGAACAGAGCTCAAAGCAAGTTGTTCCTTTAAACCATTTAATGCAATGCTTAATGTTTAGGATTAGAGCTTTTATCCTATCCTATAGCATGATTAAGTCCTATGTTACCGCAATTTAAGTAGCTTAACTGTGTGCTGGTCCCCAAACTTTTTCTGTAATGGTTGGAGAAGAGGTACTCACTGAGTCTCTTTTAAAATTATGCTAGAAATAAGTTTTTTTTTTTCTTTGTAGAGATGTTCCCTTACTCTTCTATTTTTTTTTTTTTTCAGCAAAGAACATTAAGCTGCCAATTGCCAATACCATTGACCTTGGTGTCTGCCAAGGGCCCTTGTCTTTCCAGGGCAGTTTCAGGACTTCATCCCAGTAGGGAGTAGTGAAGAGATGACTCCTTCCTTTATCTTGATGCTGACCTGCTGCTTTATACCAGAGTAATGCTTCTACCACCAGAACTACGGGCACCGAATTATCAGGGCATATCAGTGCTCCCCAAATTTCAACCATTTCCACCATGCGCCAGTACTAGCTAATAAAGGCCATTTCAGGAGACCCCCCACCCCACCCCTAAACCACCACAACTACAAAATAGGACTGTGGGGTCAGTCCCAAAACCAGAGCTGCCAATTACGGTGACCTAAGCATTTTATTTTGTCTTTGGTCAGTAACTTTCTCATTTATATTTCTGGAGTTTCCAGTAGCCTTAATGTAGCCTACGAGACGTTACCTTCAGAAAAGTCTTTAAGCTTTCACTTTTCAATAAGTTCTCTACTGCTTTTTTATTGCTACTTTAAAAAAAAAAAAAAAAAATCCTGAGAGTCTGGAGGCTTATAAATGCACCTGCCAGAGTTAATTTCTGTATTCTTTTCATATATTCCATCTAACAGATAGGAGTGCATTATAAGGGCTTGCCTAGAGTTGTTAAGAAGTGGTCTCTGAATATATATTGGAAAATTGCAGGTTCATAAGTAAATACACATAAAGCAGAGATTTGTGTATTATAAATTCACAGCATAGACTACCTTTTGCTTTAAATACATATTCATGCATCTTTGTGTACTCAGGATGCATATTAGCCCTTTTGAAAAGTAGGCACTGTTCAGATACAGTGGCTGTTTTTGAAATTAGCTCATTTTTGATTAGCGGCACATAGCCTAAATTTTGAAAGCAGGACCCTTGAATATGCCAAGAGAAAAATCTAATGCTTGTAACAAACTTCAGAAAACAAAACAAAAAACTAACTATGTTGTATACACTTGTCAGTTTAAAACGGCACACTTGCCCCATTCAGATTTCATAAATGTGAGCCAAATTCTTACTCTCCACATTTTAAGAGAAAACTTTAATCCAAGATTCAAAACTTTTAAAACAACTTTCTTATAGAAGGCTTCAATGCAAAGTTTTTAAATTTGAGAATTTCTATGGAAAACCTTTCTATAGAAATACTATAGTACTTTCTTTCCCATCTTCAGGATTTTTATATGCATAAAAAATTGCAAATGTTGTTTCAGTTTCAGTATTGCATAAACAATGATCACTTTTGTAAATTACATGGAAAGGATTTAAGTTTGATATTTTCTAAAGGAACTCATTAGTAAATTTGTGGAAAAGATATGAAATTATTAGGAACCAAAATATTAGGGAATTTTATTCCATTTTGATACTCAAGTTTTACAACTAAAATGATTTCCTGAGGAATAAATACTCCAGGCCAGGGTACTCGGAATAATGAAGCTTTTAGGTTATTCAAGGTCAAGTCAAGATCTAGCTGAATATGAAATCACTGTAATTCCCAAATGTTTCAAGAATTTCTGTTTTACTTGCTAAGACCTGAATTTAATATTTAATATTAAGCAGGTTCTTAATCTTTTGAGAGAACTATGGGCCCCTTTGAGAAGCTTATGAAAATAATGGACTATCTTTCTCTCAAAAGCACATAGCACATTTATGAGGATTTGAAATGGTAATAGAATTTCAGGACCCTCCATCTGCCAGCCTCCAACCCACCATCCCCTTAAGGCCTAACACACACAAATCAAAGGCTGCCCTAAATTTGGTTTGATAACATGTTTTGAAATAAAGTAGTGATTGGGCCTCCACTAAAAATACTTCTAATATGGTACTTACCTACTTATAACTTGGAATTATTTGTATAACCTGAAGACTTTGATTTAGTACTAGCTTTGGAAACAGAAACCACACTAACCTGAAGGAGTAAGAAAATGGTCAACACTGAATCTTCAAGAGTAAGATTTCATTCCTTGGAGGTGTGATGGGGTGTGTTGGGGAGGGATTTTGGCAAGCTACCCAGTTATTTGCAGTGGGCAAAAAAATCCAAGAATCTTATAATTATCCATCCACCAAAACACTGGATTCTTTTTTGTTTCTCAAATATGACAAATGCTATCAGTAGATCACTGTCCAAAAATACGTCATCAGTCATTCTGACCAAGAACAGTTGAAGATGATGAGAAATTAGCAAACTCAGTGTAGTTTACAGTTGACAATATTTTAGTGGAAAGTTGGAGGAGCAAATGCTGGGGGGTGGGAGGAAGGGAATTCAAAAGTTGTTTTTCTTCCTAGTTACATCAGGGAGGTGTTTCTTTGTTTTGACTGTTTTTGAGCCTTTGGCCACTCTGCCAACGAGACTGTGCCTCCACTCCCCTGCATCCATCCCGGCTTCTTTAGGGAAGCATGCTGCATCTACATGGAGGGCCCTCAGGACCCTTAAAAAAGAGCAGGCAGAAATCCTTAAAGAGTTTGAAGTTCTTTTAAGATTTGATTCCAGTGAGTCATGATTTGTAGTCAGACATCAAACCCTTACCTACATTTTCAAGCTGAAGAAAGCAGTGGGAATCTCATAACTGGCTGGAGAAGAAAGGAGAGTCAGCTCCCTCCCCTACCCCCCACCTCCAGAAGAGCTTTAATGAACCTTCTACAGTAGCAAATGGAGAGACCATGGGTGGAAATTCCCATAGCAGGTGAAA